GCTGCCCGACAGCTCTTGGGTCCTGTGCTCAGTTCCAAACAGGGGAAACTTACGCATAGAGTCTGCATTTTCCCCAGTGTGTTTGCTGGGCACTCAAGTAGGCAGTCTGGAAACCCTGCCACTGAAAACTTGCTGGCTCAGTATCTAGCTTGTGTGCTTGTTCATCCTTTGATGCACTAACATCAAATCCAGGGTGCGTTCTTGTCTTGAACCCTGTGCTTCTGGGACATACCCCAGAATGCTTCGATCCTTACCAGGAAGAAGCCCATTTGGCTAGACAGGCTGGACAGATAAATGTAATATTTATAGATACATATATATTTAGTTACCAACTGCATTTTCCTAATCTGCAAAAACTGAAAACGTCCACAAAATTGTTTCTCGGTGACTGAGACCGCTACAGCTGCGGTTCAAGAGCTGTCATTATGTACATGTTAATTCTCATCATGACTCTGGTTTTTACGATGCCTAAACGTGGGTTATTCAACATAAGGCCTGACATATGATGCCATATTGGTGCAACACTACGAATGACTGGGTCTCCAGCACTACAGAGTCACTTGCTGTGCCCAGACAATGGGAAGCTTTATTGGCAGGGCTATGGAACACAGCGTCCTGCCAGAACAAACTGGATCAAATGATTTGGAAGAAACATCGACCAGTGTTTCATACAATTAACACCTGGGGGGTACAGAATTTAAAAATAAGCACAGAACCATAGATCACATACCACCTACACACAGAGATGCAATACTACTAACTACACACAGAGATCAACAGAATGGCAGCAATGACTAACTATGGAAAAAGTGTTCGACTAGGATTTGCTACATAAAAAAAACTTTAAAAAACCCAAATATACAGGATTAGCAGGATCCATCCACAATTTTCACCTTAATCACCAAACACTACATCCAGCAAGCAGATGAGAGATTATACTAGGAATTAAACTACATGGCTGTTTCTTTTAGTATTTATATATAGGTAAGAACTGCCTTCCTACAATGTAGCTGTCTTTACTCTAATTGCAATATTATCCAATATGCTTTATAATTATCAATAAGCTACTAAGAACCACGTCTGGGCCAACTAGCTTTTAGTTGTTTGTAACATTTAAATATTTCCATCTTAAGGGTTTACTATTAAATTATATCTTTTTAGCTTCCTGTTTAAACAGTATTATTTGATGGACTGGCATCTTGTCCAGGCTGTATCCTGCTTTGTGCCCATTGCTCGCTGGGATAGGCTCTGGCTCCCCTGTGAGCGTGTATTGGATAAAGCTGTCAGAACACGTATGGGTGGATTTTACAGCTCAATAAATTGTTTTATTTCTTACACACAGGGAGCACATAATGCTTTGTCACTACAGGGGAAGATCTTTCCAATTAAGCACCCACTGATGATGACCCTAGGCAGCTGCTTATAAGTAAAAATCAGTCTTTTTTTCAAGAGCTTTCGATTGTCTGCAATTTGTTTTACTGCACTTTTAGGAATACAGAGGTGAGAGTTTTGACATTTTGCAAGTTCCTCTTGTATTGGGGTTTGGTCTTATGTAGGTTGGTTGAAGTAAGATAAACAAGGTTAGGGTCATTATTTCATGAGCCATAGTTATGCGTTTTCATCAAAACTATATTTATTTGGACTGTATGAAACTGGTTCAAGTCAGCCTCAAAGACTAAGCCTGGTCCAATACTGGATCTGGAGAAAACCAGTCCAGGTTTTCCAATACACTCAAGTACTTTTAGACTAAAGGGTATTCTGATTTTGGTTCCAAATGTTCTCTAAATCACTTGATTTGACAAGTCACCTGTAGAAATTATTTACTTTGATCAATTCATATCTTGATTTAGTGGTTTCCTAGAACACCTGCTGGACTGAAGGTCTCCAGGACGAGCACTCTAGACCCCTGCTCCAGGTTCTTTACATCCTCCCATTAGCTGTGATGATTTGGCTTTTTCTTCCCTGTAAGGAAATGTTGACGATACTACATTAGGTAAGAAGGAATGATAAATGAGACAGATTCAGCTCAGAATGCCACTGAAGAATATTGTTTCAACTGAGTGTTTAAAAAAAGAAACGGAAATAGAAACAGAAAAAAATACAGTAACATACAGCAGCCAAAACAATATAGCCACACACTAAAAAGAACATTCTTTTAAACCAGTGTTTTTCTGTGCTTGTCCTTTCATAGACCTGTGTCTGCTGGTTTTTGGAACTGGGCCCTTAATCAGCACCGCTAAGTGCAGTCCATAATAGATTCTTTAATCACAGGCTGATTTACTTCAGGTTTCTATGTGAGGCCTTTTTAAAATGCCCCCTTAAAAAGCTAAAAGAGATGTGTAATCGGTATGAAATATGTGCTCATTAGAGAGTGTGACTGCCTTGACTCAGGTGTAGTAAATGAAATATAACTAATTTGACTTATGCAGGAAAACACTAACTCACTATAGACATTGTCCGATACTGTGTCATTGCCACGTCTCCGTTCGTCATCATTTGATCACCTAGTAAGAGGCGTTTGGCCCTGTATAAGGGAGAAAATGCTTCGATAGCAAAGCAAGACTTCGTAGAGTTTTGTGTGGTGAAGATGTGGGAGATTAGGCAGTTTAATAAGAATAGTTTTGGAACAGAACAGAAAATGTGTTATAGGCACCAGCTAGCGTTGGTAATTAATGCCCCAGCTGGAACAAAAAGCAGGAGAGGTTTTCCAAGACAAGGCATGAGAGCTACTGCAAATGTTTTTGATAATTTTCAATCTTTCCAAATACATTGCAGAAGAAACCACTCAGGTCGGACAATAAGCATTACAATTCGTTTTATGGGGAAGAATTAATTTCAGCTTGATCAAGAAGATAGTGATTCATTTTTTCAGAACGTTTCAGAATACTTTGGGTTCTCTGTGCTATCTGCCTCCTAGTATCACATGTACGTATACTACAGATGTTATCGTCTCATTCTGCCCTAAATGGAGGTTGAAAAACCGGCAATTCTTCCACTGCTGCCAAAGTAGTCATGTAGCCCTGGCTAGTTCAACGTTAAACTGCAAAAGAAAATGTAGCACTGGTTTGTGAGATTATTATTCCCCTGCAGAGCTATTTGCCTTGATGTTGCAAAATGGCAATTTGTAGAAAAATGTTAAAACCAAAAGGTTTACAGTAACAAACTCACCCAGTCACAAGAAATTCAGAAAATTCCAATTCTGTCCATTCGTCATTGGGACTCCACCCTCATGGTCATCTAATCGTTCACTCAGGTTGAAAAATAGATGTAATTTGTATTATGCATTCTCTCCAACCAGTCAGCATTATGTAATTTATCCAGCCCATTTAGGATATAAGCAGGTTTCTTCCAAACCTTGCAAAAAAACGGGTTCAACCACATGCACAACCAACTGAACTTTAAATGTAGGCTTTCCCCAAGTAGAATAACTTTAGAAATCCAATTGCATATCCAGAAAAAACATCTATAGTTTGTTTCAAAATTTTACTTCATTTCCACTTTTTTGTTCACTTCTCTCATTTTAAGCACAAACAAGTGCTTTTATTGCTTTTGTGTTGGAGTAGCAGCTGTCAAAGCAACTGCCCGTCCCTGCTCTTCTGCTAACAGGGCAGCTGGCAGGGCAGCAGGTGACTCATTACATTGCTGAACTGTTTCCAAAGGGTACATCTGCTCAAACCACACTGCCCTGGTTACTGGGTAAAGTCTCGCATCTCTGAAACTGAAGGGGAAGGGGACTATTCCCATAAAAAAAATGTGATGTAAATCCAAACAACTTAAATGGTAGTCAAAAACAAATCAACCTTGCAGCTTGTACACTTAACCAAGCCCTTGCATTTCACTTAACTAAGAACCTGAGGTTCACTAACTTGCAAGTTGTTTTTTTTTACCTTGTATTGACGGTATCTCTGGAATTCCTACTTGCTGAAAAATATCAGTGAAGCCCATAACATACTTGGCACAGGCCTGAAAATGAAACTATGGAAAAACATTGAACTTAAAATCATTCACACTAGGCAATGGGGAAATCTGTACACACCTGAACTCCATCTCCTCTAAGGCTAATTTGAAAAAACTTTTTTTTTTACATCTTGTACATTTTAAAACATTACGATTCCTAAAGTGCCCTAATAACCATGAATTCTGCAAGACAACTCACTCCACTCAATTGCCAAAAGAGTTTGTTAGTGTTGCTACAAGGAGTCCCTTAATGTCCCACAAGGAGATGATACAAAAAACACAACAACTATCATTCTTTACCACAACAGGGCACAGAAATACAAAAAACTTATAACTAATCCAGAATATAAAAATAAAATGGCCATCATAATTTAAATTGGGTATGATCACAATGTGCACAGTGCAGACAGTTTAAAAAGAGGCTTGAGATAGAGGGAAGTCAATACAGACCTCCAGGCATTTCAGTGTTAATTTACTTTACTAACATCTTAATTTACAGCTGTTTGTCACATACGACATGTTTTGATCTTTAAAATGTAGTCCTCAACTTAGAAGTGACTTGCTTTTCATGGAGAACATTTTTAGAAATTAAGTCACAGTGCAAGGGATGTAATTCACACAAGTTTCTAAAAGATCAAGTGAACCGACAAGTATTTTCAATAGTGTGAAATTATGCAAGACGATGTAGAATGACACACTGGAGCTTTGGCCTGGATTACCCTAAAACTCATAAATTTGACCAAACCTACACACACGAGAAACTCGATGTAGGTGTTCTGATGTTCCTGCAATGTGATTCTCCTTAGGTAGGGAGACAAATGTGCATATTAATAAAACAGAAGGTGGCAAGGAAAACCAACAGGGATTCTGAAAATTTGCAGCTCTCAATCTCCATTCACACTGGAGATAGGGAACTGCAGATTAGACACATGGCTTTGGAAATACAGCCAAAAATGGAAGCAATCACTTATGTTACTTTTGCTTGACAATACCACACAGTATGGAAAAACACAGATACAGGGAAAATATTTCTTTAAAAAAAGTGATACAGAAAAGCTTTATAACATCTCTCTGTACATAATTTTATTTACATGATACAATTTTGCATTAATGCTGAGTAACAGGATTATATGCAATACATAAATATGAACACACTTTGTACAAATCTGCATAACTAAAGTTAAAATCCAATGGATACATAAAATTCTTTAAAGCAAAACCTCACATCCCTACAGGAAAAACAGTGCGGATCAGCCAAAAAAAAAGTTAAAACTTAAAAGAATACAGTTTATTTACAAGAATGTTACCATACTGCTAATTTAGACTATATAAGTATACATATATACAGGGGTCCAAATTAAGATTTGCTGCATTAGTCAGGAAATGTAAAGGCTCCAGCTCACACCTAAAGTGGAATTCAAAACAACTTAAGTTTAAAAAGACCTGTTTGAAACAGAATTTGAATCAAAAATCTCCACTTCTAATGTCACATCTTTGAATTCTTTATTGATTGTGTGAGATTAAAGAATTCTCCAAGCAAGACACCAGGCAAGCTGCTGAAGAGGCTACTCTTTGGGCAGCATTTCACATGACCCCTGTATGCACGTAGGTATGTGTGTGTATACATAGAGCGTCTCACATACCCAGTAGGTACACATACACATTATATATGTAAATATCAGCACGATCTCTAGACATTACAAAAACCTTTCATTATAGAGGTGAAAACATTGAACAAGCATTAGTGAAGTATATTGCCATTTCTACAATTCAGATATTTTACATTATCGTAGATACGCAACCCATGCAATACACCCAATAATACTACACTCCTACACCCAAAGTAAAAACAGAAAAGGGGCAAGCTATTTGGGCATTGCTTCAGGCATCAAGTAACCATCACATTATTACTGACTAAACGTTATAAGCAGCAAACAGTCATTCCCCTACAGTAGGCAACTAAAGCAAGGAGAATTTAAGACCAAAAGAACACTGCAGAAATACTCATTACACCTAGTTTAAAGAGATGCATATTAAATGGGTTCAATAAATAAGGACTATTCAATGGAATTTTTAATTTCATATTAAAAACCCTATTGGGGAACATCTTTGTCCTGTAGGCCTGCTAGACTCATTCTGCAAGGATCCCATTACATTGATAAACGTATGGCACAAATAAGGTTCTTCTTTTAGTGCAACATCACAATCAGCAAGAGGAACACTCAAGGTCAATGCTGCAATTCACAAGGTATTGCAATAGGAGCCACGAAAGGCATAGGACATGCAGAAGAGTTCTGTCAGGGTAAAAGGCCCATCAGATCTTGTTACGCTTCACTACAACTGTGAATGGACAGGAGCTGGTACTGAAAGGGATGTGTGCACTGGGGTTCTTAGCTACAGTAATAAAATTATTATTTGCCTATTCCATTTAATGCTTTGGACAGCGAGTGCAATAGCATGACAGCTACCATCAAGAGTCTCAGTAAACAGTGCAGTAATAAAAACTTGCCCCCTCCATGCATCCGACAGCGTTTTAGAAGAAGCCAAACCCTTACCAATCTCTCAGGACAAAGACCACATATAGACATTCAAATACTCGTTACCCACTTTTTTTTTTATTAAAAAATAATACGAATGAAAAAACCTAGAGAAAAAAAACGTTGGGATTACTAATACTTAAGGTTTGACCCTCATAAGACTGCTGAAGACTTGCAAACAAATTCCTGCTTTCCAAGAATGAAAAAAAAATTCCAAATCCATTTTTGGCACAAACAAATCTAGCTAGTGAGGCAGAAAGAGGAAGCTGGAGGACAATATAGAGAAGATATCCTGAAATGATGCCCTGGGCCGCACATTTTGTAAAAAAAAAACAATACACCACAGGAAAAAAAAACGATCGTTCATGCATCTGCTCTGTATAGGTTTCTCAAGATTGTAATAAAAAATTAGTCTTTTATCCACTCTTAACAGTGTTCCGTGTAATAAGGCTGTGTTCCTTATATTCTCTGGATTTTGTCAGCAACAACAACAGGGTTTTCTTTCCTGATTTTTGCAGCAGCTTCTGCTTTGTAATCATAAGGACAGTTGTGCTTGTCTGAATAACGGTGAAGTCCACAAAACAAATTTCCACATCGGCAATCAAAACCTGCCACAAAAGAAGCAAGATCATAATTAATCGTTTTAAGCACAAACCACGGTGGTATTTAGGCTAGAAAGGACAGTTTTATCCAGCACATCCACAATAAAGCAGTGCTCCTTATTTCTTTTACACCAAAGGTATATGAGAAGCAAATACCATAACATGCATTTCAACAAGTTACAATCTGAAGCATAGGCCTCAGGGCTGCTTTTAGTGAAGAAGTCCGTTTTGAGTAAATCATAAGGGAACAGTGACATTTCCAAGATGTGTGAATATTCCATTATTGTTGTTTTTTTACTTACCCGTTAGCCCAACCTTCTTCCTGCACATGAAACACCTATTCTTCTTTGTCTTGGGCATTTCAGGTGCCTTTGCCTCATCACTGCCAGGTGCATTTGGATGTGAAGTTGATGCAGTGGGTTGTGTTACAACTGAAAAAAAAAAGTTCCCTTTTTACAAATTTGTACTCATTACTCATTTAACTTTTTTAAATTATTTTTTAAACTCATTATTTTTTTAAATGTATTTAGGACATACAATAATTTAAATTAAAGGCCTAAATATATTAACAAACAAGTCAACATGTTAATGATCTCAATTTTTATAGAAAATCCTAGCACACACAGTTGCTATGTTCTAGTGAAACAAAGATACAGAGTGACTTGGCTGAAACTAAAGCATATAAGTGCCAAAAACCTTACCACATTGTAATTCAAGGGAAACTTACTGAATGCATCTTGATGTCTTATCCTTGTCTAATGCTTTATAGATTAGAAATGTATAATATGACTTATGACTCCATACTGAGGCTGGTGAAAAAATTAAGGTGGTTTCTTAATCTAGCCTAAAGGTCTCCACTTTGTATGAAATTGGATTTTTATAATAGGAGTGTTAAAAAACGCAAATGATTTTATATAATTTAGCAGGCTGCTTTATCTATCAACAATGTGTGAGGTGTACTTGCTCCCTTGATGCGTCCACCAAGAACAAATGTACTTGGAAATAAAACTAAAAAAACAGTCTCAGCAAAAGCCCTCAGGTGGGGACGCTACAAATATCTAGTGCGCACTGCTGTACCAAAGTGGAAATACATTCATCTTTAGACAGAAGACAAACTGAAAAGAAGCAATGATTCCTCCACCCTTAGCTCCTTTCGGTAAATTAAAAGAATATTCTCATTTCTTATTTTCAGACGTGGCTGACTCCAATAAGCACAGAGTGATAAAAATAATATTTGTAAACACCCAAAGGGGTCACGGTCTTGGCCCAAATTTACTTAAAACAAGGTTCAGTAACACTCGGATACATTTCTGGACAACATTACACAATGTTTTAGCTGAATATTTTAGGACAAGTCAAACCCGACACCTTAGATAGTTTAAACAGCATTCTGAAAGTAGATACCAGCAGCAGCCCTGGTGCCGTTTTAACCAACTTGCCTTGCTGTTTAAGGCACTGGAGCAGTTAAGGATCACAACACAGATATACATAAACAACTAGCTGGAAGCAAAAAAAAAAACAACCTGCATTTACATTTACAGAGACAGCCATTTCAGAACATTTGCACAAACCCATTACATTAAGCCTATAAAATATCTCCCACTTTAAACTAATCAACAGTCTATATACAGCGCTGTGACCATTGCGCAAATGGGCTTTGAACACTTAAAGGCAGTTATGCTAGTACTTATTTCATTTAAATCCAAAGTAAGTCTCTTTAAGACTACTTTTTACCCATATTGTTAGAATGACAAAGATTCAACTCAAACATTTACTTTATAATCTTAAATTTCTGAATTTTAAAAAGGAGATAAATTCAAACCCACCTGGTTCTGCTGGTTCTGCTTTCGGCGATATGACCTTGTCCTCCCTGGAAATGCTCATTTCTGTCATTTGTTGAGTAACAGGCAAGGAAGCAGTTGGCATACCTCTGTAAAGACCAAGAGTTTATAGGTTAGCATCATATTGCACCAAGTATTTATGCACCACCATTCCTACCTTCAACCACAAAGCAGTATGTACAGTATGTATGGTTTATAATCAAGAAGATTGTTAAAAGTAAATGTTTCTATCCATTCTTTTCCCTGCAAAAGTCCAACATCTTGTAGTAAAACTGACCCTCAGGCTCCATAACAGAATGATTGTATAACCTAAACTCCTCTCATTTAAATGGAGAGAGCAAAGACTGGCTTCTTTGAATCGTAAAATCGATCATTTCATTAATGATCCAGATAACATCTACGGAAGGGAGAATACCCCTGTTCAAACAAATCTGTTCGAAATGGAATGGAATTTTTTTGTCATGTATTATTGACCTGCGTCTAGAAATACTCTATGAAGCAAGAAGCTGTTGAAAAGAGGATTGGGGCAGTGCAGGGATCGGCTCTTCAGCACTGCTGTGGCTGCTAAAGCAGAGGTCTTAATGCCAACAGGGAGTGCTACTCACCTTGATATTTCGGCTGCGCTAACAGAAGAGACGTCGGAGTTACTTAAACTGGCTTCTATTCTCTGGATTGCGGAGGCTTCCGAAGTAGGACTACTGGATGTGCTGCCAGCACCTGCAAAACATTGCCAAGGCGAATTCTTAGTCTAGTTTCAGGCAGCCATAATGCTTTTTATATACGCTAAAAAGTAACAGCAGTAATTGTTTGCAATACAAATATTGTAAAACAGCACTCCCGTATCTAAATGTTTACCCTATTTTAGCTTTATACATCTAACTTCCTGCAGCTCTCACTAAGGCACACACACACTCAAAATGGGACAATATCCTATTTCATCAGGAATATTCTGAAAGTCATTTTTTGTTCATGTTTCTTTTTACATCCTGTGGGAAAGGTAAGGCTACCTAATTCCAGTAAACCAGTATAACCTAAAAAACCTATATAATATATATATAAATACTCAATATAAAATATTCAAACAGTATTTTACTTAATAATATAGAATGGTTCAAAATATCTTTTACATCTTTTGCAACCAGCATTCTTAATCCACTATTTAGACAGGTAAACCAATTGAAAAGCTCACTAATAATAATGACATTTATACAGTGGGGCATTTCGTAAACCAATCTGAGTGAGGGACAACTGCAGAGTCCAAATAAGGATTTCAACACAAGCGGGTCTCAGGTCCAGAACACTATTACTTCACAAAATGTATCCTTAATACATAGTACATCTCTTTAAAAGAGAAACATTTAAAATGCCTCCCTGTCATTAAGAACATTAGACGGTGAAGAAATTGTTCACTGTTCTTGACTTAAGAATTAGTGACAGTTGAATCTAACACTTGGTAAACGGACAGATTAAAAACCCTCAGAACTGGTTGCAAAAACTGCCTGAAAGCATGTATAACAAAATTCACAAGTAAATACACAGAAGAAAACTGAATTAAAACTAATTTTGAAGGTGAAAATCTTTTTCTATAAATAAAACTTAGCAGATATGTAGAAAGTCTCAGAAAAAGCTATATTTAAACAGGCAAACTACATTAGTACCATATGTTATGAAGGGGTCTAATAAAAGATTTCGAAATCAAGGTACCACACCGACTACATGTTCTACTAAAAATAATTTTCAAAAACTATTTTTACACCTTAAAAACAGAAAGCTGGAGAGATGACTAAATGTGCCTCTCACTTGGCACCTGTGATTTCATCTAAACAAGACCCTTTAACAGCTACTTCAATTTGTTCATTTCCTCATTAGATTAGCCAAAGACGGAACATTCAAAAATATTAATAAAACCAAACAAAGAAGGGCTTATTAAGTTGCTCCAGCAACTCTTTTAACATCAATAATAGGTAAAACTATCCAACCTGATGTGCATATCACATGGACAAAACCCACTGACTTCAACTCCAGGCAGAATACAGCAACGATCACAAGTATTAACCATATGAACAAAAAATGGGTCTAAAAACTGAAGCACCATATGCATTCCTTAAAAACCCTAAGATAACAATCATGCACTGGTTTTTGGTAATTAACAACCATCAACAAAAGAAAAGACTAGTGTCATAAGGAGTAGATGGTTGTATTCTTACCAATTGGGCTGATTGGACTCATTCTGCCACTGCTTTGCTGCCTTGTCAGGTACTCTTTGTAGCACACAGAGCACATTCCATTTGTCCTAGGATTCCCATAAAAGCCACAGCCTGTCGTACACAGCATGGGCACTGGGCTCTGGTTCGTCTCTTGGGCCATATCCGTTTTTCCAGATGCTGTAAAAGAAACCAGAAAGAGCCATTATGATTTGGAACATACAAAGAATCAATTGGGGACTTACAGTATCTGATCCACCTCATTCAGTCTCGTTGCCTTTCTGAAAAACGAACGCTCTAAGCTATCCTGATGCGCGGAGAAAGAACTCACATTGATATAATCCTGTTACATGTTTTTTTGGGTCAACATACTCCTTGAGGTGATACAATACTGCAATTTTTTAAAGTTCAGATCCACACGTTAGAAAAATGAAGACGCATCATGTTACAATTAACACAGACACAGGTACCAAAAGAACAGCCCATCCATTTGCAGTACCATTGTCTTGGCATCATGAACTGTGGCACACCGTCAAGTGCAGAACCCTTTCTAAACGTGGATACACAGTGGGGAAAATCCATTAATTCCACCTCTCTCTGGGAGTGGGTGGATTTATGACAAGAACTCGGCACCTTGATGGAGACATTTAAGACTTTGACTTTCATTAAAATCTAAACATAACCTAACAAACGTTTTTCCACACAATTCGCCTGTCCTTTGTTTTGTATCTTACCCAAAAGGCTCACTGTGACATGATAATTTGCTTATTTGTACATGACAACACAGCACACACAAAAAAAAACTTAGGCATGAAAAAAAATCAATAGGTATAAACCATTATCCTGAAACCTTGTTCGATTAGGCAGAGAAGGAGTTTAAATAACTAAACGTCAGGATTATTCAAATCTGAGATGCAACTGAAAGATTAGGTTTAAAAACCGTAATGAGACATTACATTATAATAAAGTACATGGTTAAAACTTACCTTGACAATTGGCACTTGGCCAGAGAAGATATAAGACTGTTTTTGTAGACCTCTTTTGCCAGTTGATTTCCTAGTGTACTGAATCCCCTTAAGGTGTCATTAAATCCAGAACTAGAAGAATTGGTACCAGTGTGTTCCTGATGCAGACTGTATAACTTGATTTTTTGTTGACCATACTAGAAAGGGTTTACTGTACTCAAACTGTATCCAGCAAAGCAAGCTTCAATGGTACAACACAGAGCATGTTCTCAAGTCTTTATTTTCACCACTTCCTGATTGTAGATTTTACACCAAAGTTACGAGCTTTTGTCCATGTGAATCTGATTTTGATTTGTATCCAATAATGTTTCCTGTAATCCAATTAGGGAATCTTGTTTAAACACGAACTTTCTGGTAGGGTTGCTGTCCAATTAATTGCAAGAGGAATGCCAATCTGACAACAGCCTCTAAATTGTGCCAAGGCTCAAATCCAGGCTGAAAACACAACTGTTTCCCCAAGAGGCATCTATGTAATAGGCCACTATTATCTTACTGTAAGAAAAAAAAATGTTCACAGAGTCACTGGATTCTCAAACTAGACTTCCTCAAAAATAATCTGCTTGGAAAATACCACAATCCTCTCAAACTTGGGTAAAAAAGGTACCTACAGTTCCTTGGGGATAAATTTAGTGCAGCATTAATTGACAGAGGCTATTTTTGATCCTATTACTCACTTTTACATTTCCCACTTTCAAAAAGGGAAATGTGTAGCTCTGCAGCCTACCATTAAAAAAAAAGCAATTGAAACTTCAGTAAGTGCTCAACAATGAATTCATCTGCACATAACGTGGGTGTTCCACGGCTCAGAAAGGATGAGTAATCTCAGCGAGCTCTGTTGATGTTGGACCTTGCCGACATTGAATGATAAAGCCAAATGGAGCTGCTGTTGTCCGAAAACAGTATCGAGAACTCCCAAAATGTAACAAGCCAAGCACTTAGAATAAGCTCTGCCCGAGCACACGCGTCGCGACACATGGAGACAAAACCAGTCCAGTAACCACCAACCTTACAGGATTTCTGTAAACGGGTTTAACTAATCGCGATTTTAAAGCTCTACAGTTCCATTCCTTAAGCTACTTAATTAGCACTTTTGCACATTTACATCCACGTGGTAGGTAAAACAATTAATCCGGGCGCCGGCCATGCAGTGCACTCGCAGGTGAGAAGGCCATCACTGCCCGAAGAGGAAAACACTATTTGCGCCCACCAACCACATCAAACAACCCTCGGCGGGGGACAGGGTTTACAAAACCCAGATCGCGCCAGGTGAACCTTCCATTACATAACGCACATTCATCTAGCTGACGACACGTTTGGAAATGAGGCATTAAAAAGAAGCAAAAGCTCCTGTCTTGACTACATCGACTGCCATTACTTCCAATTCCTGCGCATAACAAAGAGGGCTGCCATTAATGGAGAACGATTCCTTGCCCTCTGACGTGGATGCCAAAGCAGCAGAATGAATGAGAGGGCTTGCGTAACACCGCGCAGCACGTTCAGCGAGACCTGTCCCCGAATGGTAAAGGGCAAACAGGTCTGGCCAGTGCCATCTCTCTCTCTCACACACACGCACACAAAAACACACGGTCTTATCCGGTGCGTCAACGCAGGTTTTCCCCGGAAAGCCAATCCCCGCTCCCGTCACGTGCGCGCCCGCCCGGTCTGCGGCTCGCCGTCACGTGGGGCGCCGGCTTCCGCCTGTCACACGGGCGCGATGTGACGCGCAGATCTGGAGGCGCAGATACAGAAAGCCTCACCGACGGCAGCTCTGAAATCAGCGGCTATTTTTATCCCGGCGGCTGGTGTAGCTCCTACACAGAGCCGCAGCCCCGTCTCACCCGAGAGTCCGCCTCCCCCCACCCCCCGACACGCACACAAGGAAGGAAGAAGCGATCTAGCGCCGGGGTTTTCTGGCGAAAGACGAAGGCAAGTGTGCGCTTTCTGTAGGAGGACAAACATACCCATAAGCTGAATGTCCCATCGAGGCTGGACTTTCGTGTGCCCAGAAAAAAAAAAGACCGCAGAACAAAAAACAAAAACAAAACTACAATATGGCTCTCCCGCTAGTCATTTCTCAAAACAATACAAGGGGATTTGAAAGTTACACAACGGCGCCCGGTTCTGCGGATCTTGTTTCTTCTAAAGAGACTAACAACCACCTTGTAAACTTAAAATGAATCTTCTCTCGACTCACCTCACCTTATCTGTGATGAGCGTCACAACTAATTTTTGAAAAGTGTGAGGCGGTAATAAGTCTTAAAATACCCGAGTCGACAAGCACTCAAAATGCAATTTCCCTTCTAAATGACGCCATAATCCGAATAACCTAAAAATGTCACAAGACAAACAAGCGCAAATCCACGGGGTATTGCGTCAAAGTTGTCCCCCCTCTGCCGTCTGACCCTAATTCTTTATCCCTAGAAAAAACATATCGGTAATCTCGTCCACTACTCTAGTTCTGATAATATCATCACCTTAAAAACGTACAAAGTTAAAACAAGAGCCGCCACCCACGTATAAGACTGCTGCTTTTCAAAAAAAAAAAGTGGGTATGGGGTAGAGGGGGAGACAAGTCTGTACACGTTTTCGTGTTTCCTCTCCTGCTCCGTCTTTTATGAACCAGTGAGTCACTTCCCGGGGAACTAGGATTGTGAAATTAAAAAAAAAAAGACAAAACTCAGTTAAAAAAAAAACTAGCGTAATTCCTGTAAGGTGGTAGAGACGTCCGAAATACCCCCACTGAAGGAACAGGGAAGGCTAGCGCATTGTGACCAGACAGGCCGCAAACTGGTCCCCTTCAAAAACACTGAGTCATGCTAAGGAACGCACAATGGCTTGATTTGCTCGAAAATACCACGGTTTTCCCATCCCAACATGTTCAGACGCTTGCACCCCCTAAACCCACACCCCGTGGAGTCACTCTGCGCTAAAAACGGCGGCTAAATGACTGGGTTTCGCATGTAATTGAATTCGGGGGACTGTGGGCTTTGTCTCCTTTCTTTGTTTCCTGCCTTGACAGCGTTACCAACACACACGCCTGCGGTACTGGTCCGATCTGGTCCCAGATCAGCAACTCGCAGTTCCAGGTCCTTCTATAGGACATAAACCCCGACAAAGTAATTAAATGCTGAATAATAGTCTCAACGATGGAAGCTCATTTATTACAGTACTTACTTACATAAGCTGTAGTACTAAGGGAAAACATCTGCTCCTTTGTTTCGAGTTTGACACGCACCGCACTACAATTTAGGCTATCCTTGTCATTAAATACGGATTTTTAAACCGAAATAATGAAGAAAATCGCATTCTCGGATTTGTCGCTACTTTCCTTTTCTCTTTGTTCCTTTCAGCTCCGTCCACATTTGAGGTCTAGGTCACACGCGTTTAAGCCAAAACAAAATCCAAACCTCGATTCTTGAACTCACTTTTCACACCGGGTAGACAAATCCACGATCTCAGACTGCAATAACCCCCCACTTTCCAAACACACACACACCTCGAGCACCCTTCCCCCATTCCTGCTTTTAAAATTTCGGTTTTCGGTATTCCTTTCTTCTGTTTAGTGTAATGGTGGAAAAAAAAGACTAAATCGACATTTCTTTTCTTCATCTTACCTGTTTGTTAAAAGTCGGACTATAAAATACGTGGTTTTGCTTTCCTCAGAGGAAACAGCCCTTTTCTGGTCTTTTTTTGTATCAGCTGCTCCTGTTTCTCTGCGCTCCCCCTTTTGCCTGTGTCTGTCTCTGGTTGCTACAATGTTAATCCAGCTTCTCTCTCTCTTTCGCTGTTTGTTTCCTTCTTTAGTAAAGAGGAGTGGCACCGGCGTCACAGCAAGGGGAGCCCTCCTGATTGGACGGACAAAAAGCGACGCGGAGTTAACCGGTACAGTACGTCCAGCATTTGTCGGGGTGGGGTGGTAGGGTAAGCCAAAGGTGCTCGAGAAAAACATCATCGTCACCACGACCACCAGTCATCACCCAGGCCCCGAGGGGATCAGGCTGAGGGGATAAGTGATAAGTGTGCATTAATCCTCGGCGATTGAGAAATACCCGTGTGCCCTGTTCGCATTGCATAATGTTTCGAGTCTAGAAAAAACGGCAACATACTCGAGCGTACAAACAAACAGGCAAACAAACACCGTAGCCCTTTAGATATACCTTTGCATAGTATTGATTTTTTTTTTTAACGGGGAGCTCTGTTTGTGAAAACCAATTATTAAAATAAATGTCATAATCTGATTATGAACCGGTTTGGGTCCTTTTTTTGCTCTTTTCTGAAATGTTACATTGGAAACAAGTCTATCACAGTATCAGGCGAATGTTTGTATTCTTTTTAATTCAATTCTTAGAATTCAGGTTTACTTTGTTGTTACAGTTATAATGGTAGGCTATTTTCTCACAGTATACAGTATAATTTTACCATGACAAGAAAGAGGCTTTAGACAATTCTCGAGTTGCTAACTTACTACTTGTTCAGAATTGTCAGACAACAGCACTCAGTCAGGTAAATACAACAGTAGGTAAATACACAGGTGGAAACATGTTGAAAAGAATATTGCATGTTTCATGTTGCACTGTATTAAGATTGATTCAATAATTTAAGATGAACCTTTTCTGGCCTATGTCTTTTTTGTCTATTCTTAGCATAAGCCTCCATTTTGTAACAGTTATATTCTGCCTTCCAGTGAGAGGGACACTTTTCTCAGTACTACTCATAAGACATGGAAGCAAAGAATAAAGAACAAACTAACTGAAACTGATTCAGTGTTGCAAAACACTCCTCTTGCTTCTTGGGTGGAGAAGTGAGACCTTATAATACAGTATAGAGTACAACACATACTGACACATGTGGGATGTTCAGAGAGTATGCAATTCATGTATACTGGGTCCGTTTGGTTTGAGCCTGTTTATGGTAATCTAGGAAACCCGTGGTCTGTTTGTGGCTTGTGTGCAGCTCATCTCCAGCTGGGAATCAACCCCTCCCAGCCTGAAATCACACAACTCCTCCTCCAATGTGTGGGTAACTGCCCTGCACCACATGGCCAGCTTTCCGTCACACTGAAGAATTAAAAGATATTGGGTGTCATATGGTGATTGTGTCACCGTAAGAGGCTCATTGTGATTGATGCCTTTTATATGTGTAAAAAAATAAGTTTCAAACATCTGAAAGAAGGTTTTAATAAATGCCAAAATGCTCACCGATAATGATTTGAAATGCTTCCAACAGATATATCAGCATCTTGAAAATTCTGCAGCCCTATGTTGACGATAAAAGCATAAAAAAGGATGCAAACTAGAAAAAGCCATTCTGATCACCTTGCTCATTTGGTCGCTAATAGGTAAGTGATGTGCGGCTCATATCCAGCAGTTTCTCAAAGAAGCCAGGGTGTCAGCTTCAGCAACATTGCTGGGTAGCTCCTTCCAGACACCCACATACCTCTGTGTAAAAAGTACCTACGGTTCTCACTTCTCAATTAATTTCACTATAGTTTCCACTTGTGTCCTCTACTCTGTGCCTCACTGTTGTCTCTGGAGAAGTCTGATGACTTTCTCACTGCCCTTGGCATTTTAAATGCCTGAACCAAAGATTCAGTTCGTTGTGGGTGTTAGATAGGACATTCCTTTAACTCCCAATATAAACAGTATGTGATCCTTTCTGTGGTCAGGTCTTACTAGTGTGTGGTATAGATATACAGTAGTTCAGGTGGGTAGCTGCGTCAGCATGCGTAGGCTGCAAAGGAACAAGTAATAGGTTGTGTTTTCTTTCTTCTTGTTTTTCAGCATGGAATAAACCTATTACTTGCTCCTAGATGTACAGTAGCATGTCCTGATTTCTATTCTGTATTTTAGCTATACATTCTAACATTAGATGTCATCTGCTAGGTGTATGACCATATCATGCTCTTCTCAAAAGAGATTGTTTCTGCGCTGCTTGTTTCCAAGAATCATTAAAATCTGGATTCTGCTAGCAAAATCTTGGTTTCCTGCCAAGTGTTAACTTGTTTGCACATTCTGTCATTTTGGAATGTTAGGGAATGTTTCCCTAAAACAGTAACCTTGCATCTGTGGATTTTCTTTGAATCCATCCATCTGTAGATAAAATCTGATGCCTGCACATTGGACAAGCTTTGAAAGGTTCATCCTTCAGTGTCCAGGGAAGAAATGAATAGCATTAGTCATGCTCAGATCATCACATTTGGTATTCGTCATCACAGGTGATACGAACATGAAACCAGACATAAATGCAACAGTATATTCTAATGTCAGTAATGCATATCAACTGCATACCAGTCACAGTCTGTAAGGTGCAAAACATTTTGAAATGGCCTTCATAATCTCCATTCACACTCTTTAGTACTTTTCTCTCGAAACTTATGCAGTGGTGTGAAAAAGTGTTTACCACCTTCCTGATTTCTTATTTGTTTGCATGTTTGTCACACTGAAATGTTTCAGATCATCAAACAAATTGAATTATTAGACAAAGATAACACAAGTAAACACAAAATGCTGTTTTTAAATGAAGGTTTTTATTATTAAGGGGAAAAAAAAATCCAAACCTACATGGCCCTGTGTGAAAAAGGCTCTATAGAGACACTGTATGTGTTGAGGTTTCTGGGTTATGTCTGCTTCAGTAGTTTATCTCCTGAGCTAAAGGCCGTGTTGCAATGTACATTGGGGAATAATAAGTAAACCTGTTAAATTTGTTCCTAATGAAAAAGACAGAGGAATCATTTGCTATGTTTAGAACTGCTGAGATTCAGATAAAATGCAGCAAAAAAGACAGATATTTTAGATAAGGACCATGTGACAATAATTTTCTCTTTGTGAAATATCTTTATCTCTGGTTAAAGTATGGAAGTACAATTACGCCTTAAACCTATCACTGTACCCATAAAACCTTATGTGGTTAAATGCAGTGCTATTGGCTGTTTAAAAAACGGTGGTTTGAAATTTATGCAATTTCTACTCAGCATGGTATTAGGTTTTCACACTAATACTGGGTAAGAATTAATATGAAGATTGTCAAATTAGTTAATCAGCTGTGTTATAGTAAGCAAATACTGATTCAATTATAAATGTCATCTACAACTCTGATAAACCTTTATGTTTTGATTAATAAATTGTATGTACATTGTGATTAAATTAGACCAAAACATTGCTCTCCTTGTGTGGCAGGGTGGCATTTTGAAAAGACGTTTGCAGGGTTTAATTTGTTTTCCAGGCCTTGATGATTAACATGTTTTAGATAGTAATCATCAATATTTGTTAATTATTTACATTTAAAAAAAAACACTGCAAAGGCTGAGGGGCATTTTGAGGAAGATTACAGCCCTACCACGTTTTGCATGATTGATTTGGTATAAGAAATCAGACTTAGTATTTTATTAGAGAATCAGATTTAATTAGTTTTCAATTAAAAATAAAACAAAATAGGAACATAATATAATATAACACACACAAAGGGTGGTCCCCCTCTTGAGATTTCTGCCATAGAAGTGTTCTGCAATAAGGTTTTAAAGAGTACCCGCAGTCCCAATTTCTCAGACTGGTTATTAAATCTAGCTAAACAAAAAAATTAATTGATGTTATAAAAAATGATTTGAATTAAGCACAAATTTGTGAACTTCATGAAAGTACTGTAAGTCGCCATGTTATCATGAACCCCTGGTCTCGCCACTGGTGAGAGCGAGAGTGCCCACACATTGCGATGTGAGGTGGCCCTTCCTGCTCACTAGTCACTGGAATGACTCATGGAGAGTTAACAACTTAGTTATGTTTGTCGGCAAAACAAATTAGTCAAAGTTGAGAGCAATGTTTTTATTGGATTACAAGAGATGAGTGCACAAACCTGCTTATTCACAATGTAATAGAGCCGCATCGTGTCACCGGAAGTTTTGTTGCCTCATCTCTGAATTGCAGAACATGGTGCAGCACATACCTGGAAAGTTTGTCTGTTTTCCAAGTTACCGTGTACATTTTACTTCTATTGTGGCACGAAACACACTCTTCGATGCTGGTTCTTTCTAACCCTGAAACCTAAACATAGTGGTGCAGCTCCCCTTTAACAGGGTCAGCTGCAGGCCCTAAGACTTTCTCACCCCAGTCCTACGCAGCTCCACTGGTGCGGTAGCAAGTTCTACATAAATGGTTATCTAGCAACCACTTGAGGTCAATGACCCGAATAAACTCCTTTTATAATGTTTCTTAAACACTCTTGTTCCTGCTGGGATAGAATAGGTTTAAAGAAATTCTCATTTAATTCAAAACCACACCCGCATAGTACCATGGTGGGGGTGGGAGCCCATAGTGGGTACCTGAAAACTTATCAGCTAGTACAAAAAGGTGGAAGCTGGCATGGTGACTTGAAGTACAATGTATGTCCAACAAAAAAAAAGTGTATTTTGTGCCTAGTTCTCCTGGTCATGTGACTGATGGATACTATTTTATTTCCGTCAGTCCTACCACAGTATTAAATGGCTATACAGAAATCTACTAATTAATTGCCTCGGTTATATGCTAATTCATTGTCCCACATTTATGTCTTGGTCCTATGAATTTGTCATGGATTCAAGATTCAAGATTCTGGGGGAGAGACAGTCTCAGATTACACAATCAGACCTGGCTAACTTGTGTTCTACTAGGATTAAAATGTTTTAAAAATTGATTCATCCATTTTTACTGTGTCCTTTAAAATACCTTTAGGTTTTGTAGTTCTGAAAATTAAACACATTTCTATCATGGGAAATTAACCACATAACATCCAAGTTTATATGCTGTCTCTTGTTGCAATAACATTGTCCAGCCAGCTTTTTTTAATAAAACTGGAACATTTTTAACTTCTTGAGTTTTGCCTTAATTGCCTTAATTTTGCTTAGTTTTAATTTGGGGTAAAGTGAAAAAAATGCGTGAAATGCATCTTAATCAGACTCGCAGGATCATACGGAAAATTCAGAGAAAAACACTACTGATCTTGGGTGACATCATCCTAAAATGATTTTAGGGAACTTTCATTCTGCGTGATGCTTCCTTCTTTTTTTTAGTTATTTTTCAGTTCTGCTCCTTTTCAGCTTTATGTAAGCTGATTCCTTCCAAAACTGAAATTGTAAAACCACTGATGCACTAAAAGATGCACATTACATTATTAGACATTCATGTCTTCACTGCACTTGAACAAGAAAACAGGTTACATCCTTCAAGGGTGCATTGGAAATGAGTTTTTATTTTCATATTCAAAGTGTTGTTTCTCTCACAGAGAAACAGAGAAGTCTTACAGACTCCCCTCTTTGTGGAAGAGTGCTTTGCCTTTAGGGCCTGAGAAGCAAACACAGTATTGTTCCTTTTCTTGAGAACACAATGGTCTGATCTTCTGGCTCTTATAGAGAACAGTTCTGATGTGGACACATGGAAAAACTATTTGCCTTGGGCCACTGAAACTTTCAGGGGTGGGTGAGTGGGTGGGTGGGTTTAGCGACTTAGTCCTATGTATTTGTTTCTTCCTTGTGCAAATTAGATTGTATTATCTTTGCGAAAACAAGGCTTGATGATAAATCAATTTCTTTGAGTTTCTAGACTTTTGTAGTAAAATATTTTTGGTTCATTTTTTTCTTATGAAAGAATTATTCTGAATAACACTTTCACATAAATGGAAAGCAACCTTTGGAATACACACTGCTTATGGAGGTACTGTATGTTTTAAATGGCACCACCCTTGAATATGTATGATATGTGAAATGCAAAATTCAAATGAAGTATTCATTAGAATATTCAATGTTAATTTATTTGCATAAGTATTTATTTGGTCAAATTCACTTCATTTTATATTTACATAAGCCTGTATCAAGCCAGAGCAGAAAAGCAAATATCGCACCTGGAAATAATTTATTTTGTAGAAATAGCTTTAACTGAAAATAAAATGTGGAGAAAGAAGAAAAGGGAGAGCATTTTGCAGGTCATGTGTATTAAATATTTTAGCCAAAGCAATTTTCCCTCATTTAATTTTCGCTCTCTTCCTTATTTTTTCTAGACAGCGGAGGTAATGTATAAGATCTGGGACTTGGTTCTTTTTGTAGGACTCTAACCAACACTGAAAATGCTATTCCTTCCACAAAACATGTGATGCAGAGGAAAAGCCCTCCAGCAGGTAAAGAACAAGCATTGCGCAAAGTATCTAGTGTGCTTATCTTACTCACCACCCGTTCAATTTAAAACAAGGCCAGAAAATTACAACATTTTCTATTAGAGGTTTCTCTCTTATTATTTCCATATCTTGTGGCAGATCACCCCAGTTGGGTTGGATTTAGAGGTTGCCATGACAATAGGGTGATGGCCAGAGGCCACCAACTGACTAGCCAAGGAAGATAGTGTAAATAGATTAATCATTCTTGTTTGCTGTTCAATGGAATGGCTAAATGCGCATATAAGGAATTGTTATTTGAGAAGCAGGCAACTATACATGTGTTTGTAAGAAGTAGCATCTTCTGTAGGTGTGAGTAGTTGGTTTTGTATGGAGTAAAGAAAGTTGCTGCTGCTGGTACCTACAGTTTGCATTTGTTTGTGTGGTGCTAGTATTGTTATGATTAATTGAGTCTGATGTAAAATGTGTTTATGTTCTTCTGTAGGCCCTTTGTTTTGTTTCTTGATTCGAACCCACCATCATAAATCCAAGAATCGACATGAAACTTCATTTTTCATCTGTTGAAGTGTTTTATGTGTGGAAGTCTTCATCAGCTATCCATCCTGTAGAGATGGTATTCCACAGAACATACTCTTCTTTGTTGATTGTATATACGTATGTAATGGCAATACAGAAGATAATACTATATTTCCAATGAAAGAATTAGGTTTATGGGAGATACATGCATTAGGGTTCTTTGATGTTAAATAACAGAAAAGACTTTGGCTCTCCTGCTACCTGTTATTGGATGTAGCTGTTTGGATTTATCGTGCTCATTTTCAGGAACCAGTACTTTTAATTTTTGAAGACATTATTTTGCAGACACTGAAAAGTTCTCTCTTCTACATCCAGCTAGGTGTGGTTTGCTTAACCGATTGACAGAACAGATTACACAGAAAGAATGGGAGTTTACATTCGATTTGAACCTCTTGTTGGTGGACATCAAAACCAGGATGTCTTACGTGTTTTTCTTCTTTTGCTTGAGTTGTCGAGTCTTTGGTCGAGGCAAATCTTTGACGTTTCCCCCTTCCGACAATTCTCTGACTTTCCTCATGATGGCATGGTAACTGATTGCTTTGCTTTTGTGTTCAACTGCCTTTTAAAGCTGTGTCAAGGCAACCTTTAAAAGCTGCTCTAACTATTCGGAGGCTTTGTGAAACAACTAGAGACTAAAACATTACAGAAGTACATTTAAAATATTTTAAGCATATTCACAGTGGGACAAAGATGGTTTGGGCAGTATCTTTACTAAGAAGCCAAATTTGAATGAGCATGAAATATAAGAGATGTATTCCTAGTAAGGCACTCCTGATCACACCTCAAGGTAGGAATATAAAAGATACCAGAAATGTCCAACTACAAAATCAATAGGCCAGTGTGAAACACAACAGACCTCGCGAGATTATGAAAAAAATCTATAGAAGTCATGGAGGTGAGCACAGTATGAATAAACTAAGAATAAATGTGAACATTATGTGCAAATCTTTTTTCTTGTTATTGATACATGTATTACTCCAAAATCAAATTTTGTTAATCAAGGGTATAAACACATTTGGAGTAAATTTGTTTATGAAAAGTTGACAAATCTGCAGCCAGTCTTGTGTCGCATAAACATTTTCTTAAACAACTTTTGAGACTTTCTTTGTTCTTATCAAAAGATCTGGAGAAACTGCTGCTTAATTCTAATTTCTCAGGTTAATTTATGATTTGTTTAAACATGAATTTTTAGGTGTACTTCACCTCCCCTCTAAATTAAGAGAAAATTGTAACAAACTTAAGCTTGCATTCACATTCTTGAATGTTCTATGGCCAAGTAGGTACAATTACATTCTTTGCTTTTTATATCATTGGCTTGGTTAGAGTTGAAAAGTGAGTTTAACCAATATCAGAAGATCAGTTGCTTAAAGCAATTTGCTATATATTTCATTAAATTTTGAAAAACAGGCTGTGCATTTGTTTTGAAATAAAGCTTTAAATTTTGCAGCACGCTTTGATCAGAGTGTACATTCTTTATACAAGTGACTTAAATACTTTGGGAGAAGAACAGCTGCTCAATTGACTTGGTATTTTTAGGAGCACAGAAGCTAATTTGCAATAATGTAAACTGTAACATAAGTACAAGATAAATTGGACGTTTTTAGTACTTTGCAATGCATTTTCATAAGATCTCTTTAATGTCACGCCCTCTGCAGCCAGAGGGTGCTCCCACTCTGTCCTGTCCCTAGTTTCCTCTGCTTTGCTGTCCTTCCGGTGTTTCTCTCCCTGTGGGGCTATATATTTCCGGGTCGCTCATTCACCTTCGCTCAGCATTGACGTTCAGATGTCCTGAGACCCGCCTAGCATCCAGGTCACCCCACGTCCGCTGCCTGAGGGCATAGGTCTCTATACGACTCCTGAACTGCTGAGCCCGGGCTAACCCCCATCGCGCCGCTACGCACAGGGTCTTTTTTCACCTGCCATTCCACGGTTCCTCCCTTCCGACTAGACATTTCAAGTTGAAAATGAAAAAACAAGGATGATAGGTGTAATCCAAGGGATGAAATGAGTAAAGGGACAAAAGGAGGTACTGTAGCACAAGCTGATAGGACAGAAACAGTAACCGAGAGAAGAGAATCAGTAACAGAGAGGAGAACAAATCTGTAGAATCAGTAACCAAGTGGAGAACAGACTCAGTAACTGAGAGGAGGACTGAGACAGCCTGAAGGAGAGAGAATGAGCCACACAAATCATAATATTCTGTAATTATCCAGAATGTCTGTAAATGCTTAGATATTGTATTGCTTTGGCAACACTGTAATTAATTGGTCGCGTCAATGAAGTGTACAGTGTGAAGCTGGAGGACAAAGCAATAATTCTAGTGGGAGGAAGTGTCAGGAGAAGGTTTCTGAAACATGCAGAAGGCATGAACAGTTTGGAAAAGAGAAGGAAGGAACTAGGGAAAATCTTCGGTGAGACAGGATATGAAAGGGAACACAGCAAAGATGATAGATTGTGAGACGCATGCGGGAAGGGATTTGAAACCACAAGCACAAGCAGAGAGTATTCTGTAGTATTGAGTGTTGTAAGAGTATTGAGCTCCAGGTGGTTGTTAGCACATCATAATACCAACTGACCTCCCTCCTGTACATGGTCTCGTCATCATTAGTCATGAGACCTACAGTACAAGGGTGATGTCATCAGCAATCTTTATTAGTTTGATGGAGGAGTCACTGGAGGTGCTGTCGTTGATGTACAAGGAATAGACTAGTGGGAGAATCAGTCTAATTAAATACAATTTATATTCTTAGATATTTATATTTGTTTGTTTTTTGTTTCTATATGTTTTATTGTAATTGTACATCAAAGACGATGGATACTATAAACTTGTCCCTCTTGAGTTCTGAGTATCCCTGAAAAATGTATTGAATATTCAAGTATAGACAGATCTGAAATGTATCTTTTATAAGACTTCCTGTGCATTCTGGACCATTGTATAATTTGTTAGATTGGGACAATTTGTAATTTCACTTTTGAAATTACACTGGTGTTTTCTTTAAAAATGCTAAAAGTGAAAAACCCACTATATATGCTAATTAATGTGTGTCCCTAATATCTTTACCCAATAACTTTACCCAACAGTAGTTCCGTAATGGCTTGTATGTACTATATATACACCCCATTTATAATATAAAAAGCCATTATTGTTATATTTTAGATGTTAACAATTTGAAATCATCAGCTGGTAAGCAGCCTGGCGCGTTGCTATAACTGTAACATTGACCAGTCCTGGACTGTGAGACCCACAGTGTTGTACAGGATAGTTAGTACTGGCCGGGTGATTGAGCCATCTCTCTCACAACACTGCAAGACTGCAGGAACTTGGCCAGTCACAGGGGTAAGTTATTTTGTGAGGCAGGTTGAGCAAGACTGTAGGATTCATTCCCACCACCTTGTTGGAACTCAGCCATTCCCATCTGTCTGAGGGGTCAGTCAACTCAAGTAGTTCCCACTCGTGGAGTCTGAACTGTGTGGCTCCACCTGTGCAGCCAGTGAATCTTCAGTGGGTTTACCATGAGGGAACCCTTTGGTTTGGTTTAAAGTCAGTGGAAGATGTGAAGATACTGTGCTGTTGTTTGAATGTTCATGTTTGAGCTGAGATGATAATTAAACTATTGAGCAAATTTAGATTCAATTTGCAAGCTTCTGAAGCTCAGAATGAAATTAGTGTTTGCAAGTCTTTGTTCCTTACAGTCTTTGATTCATGTGTATGGGGTTTAATGAACAGATGAGTAATTAGAATATGTAACAGTCATACCAGTCCTTTACTCAACAATTCAGTGACTTTAGAAATAAGAAACACTGTTCTCTCATGGGTCGAACAAAGAGCTCTTTCTATGCAGGATTATAATCATTGTCTGAACTTGAATCTTTTTAAAAATAGGGTAAACAGGGATCAGCATATTGACTTATTTCGGGCTAATGGACTTCCCATGACAAAAATGTACATATTATCCATCTTTATATATCAATACACATGCATGCATGTAAACCTTTTATGTTTTGTTATTGTGTTTTAATTATCCATGGTGGCTCATCAATCATTTTTGAACAACAAAATTCTAGAATATAATATTCTAATGAGCAGCTAGAAGAAGAACAAGCAAACAGCTGTTCAAACCAAAAGTAGACTTTAATGAAGAAAAGAAACCAGACACCTGGAGGTGAAGGCAAAAGCAGTGAACTGCAGCACTTTCATAGGTTCAAGGGAAGACTGATACAATGGCATGTGAGGTACTTTATTTATAGCAGAACCCTGAAGGCCATGTTTATGTATACAAGGGACATAACATTTAAAGCAAAAAGCCGGATAGATATTAGATACTGACTACAGAGAACAGATCAATTCTTGGAGAGGGCGACTTGGAAGCCCAATGTCAGCACCTCATGAAATGGTCCAGAGAGCAGTTTTTGTACTGCAGCACTAAGAA